ATCTACATATATAGCAATACACCCTCATCATCTACATATATAACAATACACCCTCATCATCTACATATATAACAATACACCCACATCACCTCCATATATAACGATACCCCCTCATCACCTACATATATAACAATACACCCTCATCACCTACATATATAACAATACACCCTCATCATCTACATATATAACAATACACCCTCATCACCTACATATATAACAATACACCCTCATCACCTACATATATAACAATACACCCTCATCATCTACATATATAACAATACTCCCTCATCATCTACATATATAACAATACACCCTCATCACCTACATATATAACAATACACAAACATCGCCTACATATATAACAAAACACCCTCATCACCTACATATATAACAATACACCCTCATCACCTACATATATAACAATACACCCTCATCATACATAACAATACACCCTCATCACCTACATATATAACAATACACCCTCATCACCTACATATATAACAATACACCCTCATCATCTACATATATAACAATACACCCTCATCATCTACATATATAACAATACACCCTCATCATCTACATATATAACAATACACCCTCATCATCATATATAACAATACACCCTCATCATCTATATATAACAATACACCCTCATCACCTACATATATAACAATACACCCTCATCATCTACATATATAACAATACACCCTCATCATATATAACAATACACCCTACATATATATATAACAATACACAAACATCACCTACATATATAACAATACACCCTCATCACCTACATATATAACAATACACCCTCATCACCTACATATATAACAATACACCCTCATCACCTACATATATAACAATACACAAACATCACCTCCATATATAACAAAACACCCTCATCACCTACATATATAACAATACACCCTCATCACCTACATATATAACAATACACCCTCATCATCTACATATATAACAATACACCCTCATCATCTACATATATAACAATACACCATCACCTACACATATAACAATACACCCACATCACCTCCATATATAACAATACACCCTCATCACCTACATATATAACAATACACAAACATCACCTCCATATATAACAAAACACCCTCATCACCTACATATATAACAATACACCCTCATCACCTACATATATAACAATACACCCTCATCACCTACATATATAACAATACACCCTCATCACCTACATATATAACAATACACCCTCATCACCTACATATATAACAATACACCCTCATCAGCTACATATATAACAATACACCCTCATCACCTACATATATAACAATACACATCATCATCTACATATATAACAATACACCCTCATCACCTACATATATAACAAAACACCCTCATCACCTACATATATAACAATACACCCTCATCATCTACATATATAACAATACACCCTCATCATCTACATATATAACAATACACCCTCATCACCTACATATATCACAATACACCCTCATCACCTACATATATAACAATACACCCTCATCACCTACATATATAACAATACACCCTCATCACCTACATATATAACAATACACCCTCATCATCTACATATATAACAATACACCCTCATCATCTACATATATAACAATACACAAACATCGCCTACATATATAACAAAACACCCTCATCACCTACATATATAACAATACACCCTCATCACCTACATATATAACAATACAACAATACACCCTCATCACCTACATATATAACAATACACCCTCATCATCTACATATATAACAATACACCCTCATCACCCTCACCCTCATCTACATAAATAACAATACACCCTCATCATCTACATATATAACAATACACCCTCATCATCTACATATATAACAATACTCCCTCATTATCTACATATATAACAATACACCCTCATCACCTACATATATAACAATACACCCTCATCATCTACATATATAACAATACACCCTCATCATCTACATATATAACAATACACAAACATCACCTACATATATAACAATACACCCTCATCACCTACATATATAACAATACACCCTCATCATCTACATATATAACAATACACCCTCATTATCTACGTCCTAGTATATAACAATACACCCTCATCATCTACATATATAACAATACACCCTCATCACCTACATATATAACAATACACAAACATCACCTCCATATATAACAAAACACCCTCATCACCTACATATATAACAATACACCCTCATTATCTACGTCGTAGTATATAACAATACACCCTCATCACCTACATATATAACAATACACCCTCATCATCTACATATATAACAATACACCCTCATCACCTACACATATAACAATACACCCACATCACCTCCATATATAACAATACACCCTCATTATCTACATATATAACAATACACCCTCATCATCTACATACATAACAATACACCCTCATTATCTACATATATAACAATACTCCCTCATTATCTACATATATAACAATACATCCTCATCACCTACATATATAACAATACACCCTCATCACCTACATATATAATAATGCAACCTCATCATCTACATATATAACAATACACCCTCATCTCCTACATATATAACAATACACCCTCAGCATCTACATATATAACAATACACCCTCATCACCTACATATATAACAATACACCCTCATCACCTACATATATCACTGCATGAAAAGTCGGGTTTAATTTTATCTTAAATGTGATTTAAATGCTGCGATTATTTAATGTTTAAATGCATATTATAACATATTAAGGGATCGTAAATGTTAGAAAATAATTAGCATTTAATACAGTTTAATGAAAAATTAAAAGAACAAATTTAATAAAGTTTGGAAAATTGTAAACTTACTAATACGTTCGGATTTTAGTGTGCCGTAAACAATTATTATACCTCTAATATACAAAACGTATAATTATTATTAAACATGGCCATAAAATTAAGTTTTACGGTCACATTAAATTTGTTCGTTTAATAAAATTTAACGTAGATCTTTACCTCATTATTTTTTGTTAAATTCACACTTTACTTTATAATACTTCCAAAAATTAAGTTATATACGGAGAATTGTAAACTTACTAATACGTACAAATTTTATTCTTTCATAAACTATATTTAAATCTCTTGTATATGTGATGAAAATGTACGGATTAAACCTTCCCATATAATTAAGATTTAAGGTTGTATTTGATGAAATTTAACATTATTATATTATTGCATAATATTTTTATTTTACATTTATTCCATCAATAATTTGTATGGTTTACAATTGTGGGTTTTTTGGCAAGTATTTTACAATCTTACACAAATCCATTTCTCATTCAATTTTATTAGATGTTATCTCAATAGTGTACAAACAATAAGTTCTAACAAAATACAAAATATTTCAAATTTAAGCCTAAAAGTCAGAATTTAAAAAATTACAATCATGATTGTAGCTCAATTATAATGGAGTAAATTTCTACAAACTAGTAGTAAGTAATATACTGAAGTAATTATAAATAATATAAGAAAAGTATTGTATGTAAAATTCAAATCCGCAAAAATAAAATCAAAACACAACAGGTAAATAATGTAGTCATTCTGGACTCCAAAAAGACTGCAAAATCTGACTGAAACTGCCCCTAGTAAAACTTCTGCATGGTTTGTAAATGGCTTTTCAATTTCACACAATAAATTATATCATACTTTGCATAAAAAGAATAAAAGTTGCCAATAAAAGTTGTCCATTCTTTTTACATGTACACTTTAATAAGACACACTAAGCCACTAAGAGAGAAGCCTCACTCGCCCACAAGCAACAGCAAAAGGATCGGTCAGAGACACCACCTTTCTCTTGTTTGGGTATCAAGATCTGCAACTTACTGCCAGCAAAGCTCTTTTAGACCACCCTTATATTGTTTCCCAAGTATTTCCACAATAGATGTCCATGCATGATTATCCAAGTTCAACTTGAAAAATACTTTATGTTGACTGTGAAAAATACAAGACCCAAAAAAAGCCTTTATATCATTTGGTTATGTCAATTCAAATTAAGGAAAAAGTATCACAATTACACAAAATAATAGCAGCTTAAATTTGTTTACAATACATGTAGCTCGTTTGTTCCAACTGCTAGGTTTATTGCTTGATGATTGTAATATAACATATCCTCTTTAAATCAACGTTACATTGGTATGCAAAACTTTTCTATAGTGATATTTTCAACTTGCTTTAATATTTCAAAAATGAGCTCTGAAACATGCACATATAAAAGTCCTGTATAAACATATGTAAAGGTACTCAGATTTTTTTAAGCCTTAATTACAATTCCATAACTCATAATTCATAAACTCTCTTATTCAAAATGGAAGGAAACAAATTATATTTTACTCTTGCAATTCTCATTACACTTGCAATATCAATTGTAATATTTATTAAAATCACAATTCACCCCTTTTTTACTCAGAAATGTCTCTACCTCATTTGCCTATTCTATTTTTTACGTCTATGACTCACTAAGCCACTGACAGGGAAGCCTCACTCGCCCACAAGCAACAGCAAAAGGATCGGTCAGAGACGCCACCTTTCTCTTACTTGGGTATCAAGATCTGCAACTTACTGCCAGCAAAGCTCTTTCAGACTACCCTTGATCATGATTGTCTTATTTTTTCCACAATAATGTCCATGCACTTATTATTTAAGTTAGACTTGTACATATATGTGATTGCAGATTACACAACAAACCAATAAATGTTTAAACAACAAAATACATAACAGTTTTAATCTGTAATCAAGCATAAGAAAAAACTTTCACTGTCAAAAATACAACACTAGGTATATTATTTTTATCTAACATTGAATTTGTGCAAAACAGTAGCAACTCAGATATTTCATCTCTAATAGCCTATCTCTGTTCAATTAATACATCCATAGATTTGACTCTTTTAGATTCTTTATTTGTCCTAGTTCTTCTTATGCTCTGCCTTTTAGAGTGCTTTGATTTGAGAATGGCACTTTTGGTGTCCTGTTCTTTCAAGACATTCTCACATTCATCAGAACGCAACTTCAGCTTTCTAATTTCATAGATAGTATTATCTTTAGAATCATTTTTTGTACTATGAAGACGTAATCAATATTTAAAACTGCTTTTTCTTGCTTCTTCTTCTCTTCATGCCAAGAAGTTTTCAGCTCTGGAGAAGCACACCTAGCTCCTAATTTCTACAATAAACATAAAAATAAATACCCATTTGCCTATATATACATATTATATGTGTGCTTCCAGATTTATGCAATTGCATATAATAAATAGTAAAAACAAGATCTGAGTTGATTTTAAAATTTTCATTTGACCTAGAGGAAGCACAGCTCAATTTTGCTTAATTAAAAATTTACGGAAGACTACAAAAGATATGCCATTTTTTTCAAATCTGCGTAATAAAGACAGATAATTAGCTATAATTTCAGGCCAGCGAGCGACAGATTTCGAAGCGTGTAAATTTTGGTCTAATGATTTTTTTCACCATCTTTTTTTTTGGAGCATTTTACCTGCTTGACCTTGAACATATTGAGGTGCCCTTTTCTCTGCTCCTCCACACTAATTCTTTCATTTAGCAGCAAGATACTATGGATATGATAAAAAGCTGTCATAAACAAAATATGAAAAATTAATAACAGGTGTGGCTCTCCATAGAAAGAATATACAAAAAAGGAGAAAAAATATACAAACAGGGTATACTTATGACTAACATGACTACGGCAAGAAGATAACATTTTACACAATGAAAAAAATTCTCTGTGTCATCTAGTTAAGTGAATTGCATAAAAAACATATAATTATATGTATAGATCAAATTTATAGACGACAAAATATGATATGAAACATACATAATGGTACCGTAGTCCGAGCACATGGAATTTGAAGATAGGAAAATGCAAAGAATAGCATTTACAGCATTTATCATATTAAGACACACATATATATAGTTTCACAGCAGCAAGCTGCAGAATTTGTGGAAGTACATGTAAATTGGGGACTGGGGACTTTTTGCCATTTTTTTTTTAGCAATTTACCAATGTATTTACCTGCTTGACCTTGAATATGTTGAGGTGCGCAGCCCTTTTCTTCGTGTTCCTCCACGATATTTTATTTAATGTAGCAGAAAGATACTATGGATAAAAAAAATATGAAAAATTAAAAGCAGGTATGGCATCTCGTAGAAAAAATATACAAACAGATGTATTTATGATATAGAGCAAGTAGATAACATTCATACAATAATAAAATCCTCAAACTTTGTGATCTAGTACATATTATGATATGTATTATATTAAATTTAGAGACGACAAAACATGATATGAAATGGGTATACATACTCGCAACACATGGAATTTAAGAGTAAACTTAAATGCAAAGGTTAACATGTACAGCATTTAACATGCAAGTTATTGGGATAATGAACAAGTGATTTAACATAAAGTAAAATATATTAACAACTTACACTGTAGATAGCAAATTTTTAAAGTGGACAACAAATGCAAACTTCCAGTAAATGGTGGCAATCTCATACACAATAAGTTGTACAACAAATGATTAGTTCGTACCTCATACTGGGTAGCCAAATATCTGGTCAAGTCACTTTCAGGAAGAGAGCCTCAGCAAGTTCAATGTTGATCATTCCCATAGCTACTTCAAACTTTTCTGGCACAATTTCTGAAAGAAAAGATGTATCTTGCAGGGATTTTTATTCAAACTAGGAATAATTCTCATGAATGTAAAAATTTGAAAAGTTTATAGATGACCGACGAATACCAGACACAGAACAGAAAACTCGCTCGGGTCTTAAAATGGCTCAGGTGAGCTAAAATAAATCAATTCATGTGATTTTATTGATCTTATCAAAAAATTTAAGAAATCTTAAAAATACTGCTTTTGTCATTTCTTGTGAGCATTTGGATTCCTGTAAATAATGCATGCATAATTGTGCATCATAGAATGTGATAGCTATTTTTAATAATTCATGCTTACGTATTTAACGTAAAAAATTATGCATAGCTCAGAATCCATTGCTATTGTATTTTTAGGATAAGGAAAATAAGAATATAAACCTCGTATTGTCTACTTGGTATATAGCATTTCAAGTTGTTGCAATATTTTTTATACTCTTATGCTAAAAGATACAAGTTAATAAAAACATTGTTTGTTTATTAGTTATAATAGAAAATTTGAGCGGTATGGTTCTCACCATTTTCACAAGCTGTCTACATAGCCGGCGTTATGGGGAATCGTTCAGGCACAGTCCACACTGCAACTATTTAAATAATCAAAATAAGTGCTCAATATATTCTTGAGTAGGCATTAAGAAATAAATAAATAATTTATTACATTGTACAACACTCTCTGTAAATGCTGAACAGAGGAACACTTTAGTGACAAAAATTCTGAAACCAACCCCAAACGAGAAAATTCTGGTTAAAATCCATCTTTAAGTTAGATGGTTAAAAGTGTTAAATAATTATTACAAAAATGTAAATAGCGCTTGCCCAAACGTTTTTACTGCCAGGCATTTTATGTGTACAGCCCAGACTAAGGAACAGTAACATTATCAGTAGCAGAGGCAATTATTCATTCAAGGACACATGATAAAATTTTGTACATCGTTCCTACCGCTAAACAGGGTCGTAAATGTCTTCGTCTTCTGTTAAAACATAAATGATTGCGCCCATGAGAAAAGGGTCCTTATGGCATTTTTACTAAAACAGAGAAATAACGTCATAAAGACGTGACGTTAGACAGATCGACGGCGAGTGTCAACGCATTTTTTTACCACGTGTAAACTTACGTTTTTAACACTAACTTTTGTCGTAGGTCTGAATATTGATAAAAGAATTTCATTCGCATATTTTGATCTGTGTCCAAATCCTTTTGTCCACTAGTTCTAATTTTAAAAAAAATGACAGAATTTTATCCCAGTTCGGTTCCTTTACTAGTAAAAGTTGAAGCTAGTATATATATTTATACCTCGAAGACAGTAATAATAAATTACTATGATCTATATTCATTTTTGCCAAAAGCTTCAGACAATGTGATTAATTGGCTTGTTGAATACATGGACAAATGGATTCGAATGTGATATATGTGGACCAGTTTGAGAATTCGTGCATGTGTTGTAATAGACACAGAAATGAATAAAATATCGAAAAAGGATTTTGATCCGCTCCACCATTCACAACATGTAAACATTGAATCACCGCCAGACACCGGTGCAGGCTAACTTTTGTACATTTCGTTTTTATGCGATGTACATATATTTGGTATAAAAATGAAGCTCGGTTAACTTCTTCTCAAGAAAGAAATTAAACTTTAAAGTATAATTTTTCTGAAGACTTCACAATTCAAACAGAATACACAAGAAGAATATATGAATAAAAATAAGAGAGATAACTCGAGGTACAAGAGAGGTACCTGAGAGGGAATTTCGATGCAAGTGTACGTTTTTATCCTCATTCGATAAAGTTTAATTTCTTAACAATCGTCTTGCATGGCTTTGTTACCGGATTTAATAAAAAAAAATATACTAAGTAACAGCAGCTTAAACACTTTTTAATCATCATCATTTTTAAATAAAAATTCTTGTACAATTCTCTTAAAAAAAAAAATTAGCAAGATTTTAATAATTTATTGCACTGATAATTCAGTAATTTCAGCACATTGAAAATATTTTTTTTTTCTTTGTTTGTTAGATAGCCAGGTTTTAAAACTTATGAGAGAGAGAGAGAGAGAGAAGGAGTACATTGAAATCAATTTATATCCAAGTGTTTTTGTTTTGTTTTTTTAATTCTTTATGAATTAATTTATTTCGTTTTTTTTTTTACCTGCAATAAAATAAAATAGATATATTACACAAAACATGAACATTATGCTTACACGATTCTTATTTTGGCTGTGGACAAAGGGGGGGGGGGGGGGGGTAGGGGTTGAGGCATTTGAATTAACAAAACCTAACACTTACATGTACGGATATAAAACTTGCTTCGAAATTTTTGGTGATCTTTACCGCCGCTACATTTTATCAATAAATCTATGAGCATTTACAGATCAATACAGTTACATATAAGAATCTGCCAGTAATGACATAATATATGAGTTCTTTTCAGACCGGAAAGAAAATTACAGCAAAAGTCAGAAAAAAATGAAAGTGGAATATAAAATTGGCGAGATTCCCAGACAGCATTACCACAAGCGAAAGGCCTTCAAAACAGTTTTGCCATAAATGTATCAATTCTGTGAAGACTTTTTGTTTTATCCATTAAATAATGGTTTTAACTTTTTGAAATATTTTATTCAATAAAATAGGTTAAAAATTAAAAAAAAAATACTGCTTAATGTCCTACCCCCAACCCCTCCCCCGATAGGACCCGTTATACATCTTGTAATTTATGCAAAAGCCGCTGGCTAACGAAAAATGTAATGTAGATTTTTTGTCTACTTATAAATGTAGCAGTAATAATAATTTTTTGTAGCAGTAGTTTTGTGTGTAGCGGTATTGACAATTTTGAAAATGTAACGGTAATGACACACACCCAATGCTAAGGATATTCATGTTTTTTTTTATGATACCAGACTGAAATTCATGAAAAGCAAATCATTTGGAATACATTCAACATAGGTTTGTATTTTTTTTATTAAACCTCGGCAATGCTTACATATTAGAATTTCGTACACAAAAGAAAGTTAGGGGGGGGGGGGGGGAGTAAGTGTTGAAATTAAAAAAAAAATTACATCATAACTAAACAACAGTATACCTAGCTACATGTACCACTTTGCAAAAATCCGTCATTTCAAAATTCGGCCAATCAGGGAATATTACGTATATGTAACAGACGTATAACTGAACACGAAGCACAGGCACTTGTTTTGGAAATTAATTCTTAACCCATAGTATATGATATGATACTATATTGGTTTAAAAATTAATTTCCGAAACAAGTGCCTGTGACATAAACATATAAGTCCTGATTTCCAATTGAATTAATGTTTTACTATGAATTAAACAGCGCGATTTATTAAAACAACAGATAAAATTATTTCTTATCACGCGAGATTTATTTATTTGATTAAAATTATTATAAATGAATAGATCGACAAATCAATTTTACAATTTAATGAAATTCGGATTGAAATTGTTTTTTGTCAAAACCAAAATGTCCGGAATATACATGTATTATTTCATTATAGGTTACGCTTCGGTACCATTTCACTCATTGATAGTGGTCAGTCAAGTTTCTAGTTCCGGGTATTTGTTGCCCAATAATTGATCGCTTATGTTTATGAAAATGACATTGTTTAAAATTACTATTTGAAAAATAAATTAAAGAATAATTTTCTAATATTATTGTCTAACTGGGTTGTTGTTGTTGTGTGTGTGTGTGTTTTTAAGGGGGGGGGTTAAGCTCATATTAACTACTCGTACATGTATAAGTGTGTCATTTACCTATTTAACGCCTACCTCCACCCAAAAAAATGACATCATCCCGAATTAACTACCATTCTCGGTAAAAAAAATTCTTGGAACTCACCGCCTTATTTCATGCATGTGAGTTTTATCTTATTTAAACAGCGCATATTTTATGAGTTAATGATAAATAAAAAAAAAAAACGTTCGATATTAGGATTGAAAAAGGATGTATTGTTTCAATTAAAATAAAGATTTTATTACCAATGCAAGACAGAGTTCCTTCCAAATGTTTTTACAAACATTTTAGAGAGTATTGCTTAATCCACAGTGTATCAAATAATTTTCCTTAAAATTATTGTATTTTCGTAAATAATTGCATTTCAAATGTTTGTCTTCATCATGTTTATATATAGAAAAAGAAAAAAATATTCTACATAAATATTCTGAATAATCTGGGTAGATTCTGGTTTATTGTTGTTCCCGGGGACATTTTTTTTTTTTTTTTTCACATTTGGAAAGATGTATCAGATTTATACAATCAAACAACAAATTGTTGCTTCATTTAAAATGAAATGACTTTTGAACTCATCTTGCCTACTTACAAAACAATTCTTGCCCGGAAGTTGCACCTTCTGAGGTGCCGGTAAATATTCTATCGTCCAACATGAGAGAAGTGTAAAACAAACAACTAACACACCATGCATTAATTGATATATAATATTTATAACAATTAACTTTTCAAAAAAGGAGAGAAAAAGGTTCTATATCTTTGATGGATACTACTACAATAACAACTATTTTAAAAAAATGATTCTTTACAGTCATATAAGAACGTTACAAAAAAAAATTATAGTCAATGTTTGACGTAACGTTAACCTTACGTCATGATTCCACTGTTAAAAAGTAGAAGTATCACTGATATAAACGAAGAAAAAACATACTTAGAGATGGATTAGAACCATAAAATTTCATATTTGACAACTCCTAACCTTGTTCTATCAACATTCATGAAGAACTCAAAATGTGTAAAAACTGTCATAAGGACCCTTTTCTCATGGGCGCAATCAAATTTCATCCAAAGTTTATCATGCTTCTCCTTTTCGAGTAACTCTCTTTCGCCCCTTTCTCCCGTACAACATCATGATCAAGTTCAACATGCCTGCGTGGAACTCTCCAAAAAATTAAATTGAATTTCGGCGCGGTGTGTTGTTTTTAAATAAATTGCTTTTCGAGCCCGACTTCGATCCCGATGTAATTGTACTACATTGGTAGTCGATAGAGAAAAAACTAAGTTATATTCCACAGTTTTGAAAAATCTACATAAGGGTAAATAAATAAAAATGAGAAATAAATAAATTAAAATGAATAGGGTGCCTAAATATTTTTTTTTCAAAAATGTTTCAGCATAA